TATTGTTTAACGATGTGTTTTCAACTGTTTTCGTGTGCATCGAATACATCCGTTTGTTCATAAATAGTTAGAAATACAGTGTGCCATTCAGTTATTCATTATTGGATGATATATACATATTGGACGCCTCAGGGGTTAATGCAAGGTACTGACACACAATTTCATTTGCGTGTGCGTATGTAATACACACACAAAAGTCCGAAGATATTTGGTACAGATATTATTTCTTCAATTCTAATTCTTTGGTACAGATATGATTTTTTTCAATTCTAATTCTTTGGAACCGACCTAATTTATTCAATCCTAATTCTCTTGGTACAGATATAATTTCTTCAATTCTAATCCTGGATATGTAAGGATTGATGTTGTATTTGTTGACGGTCACAAGCTGGTGAACGGCTCAGCTGATGCACGTCAACAGATGTAACTTCAATCCATATATTGACAGTTACGTGAATCATAGCAAAACAACCCATTCAAAAAGCAAATTCAACTGGAATGAAACCCAGACACGGTAAATGCTGAAAATGGATTAATATGAATATTCTGTGAACTGTGCGTGTGTGAGTCATAGGATGGCTAGATAAGAAGGGTTGTAGTTGCATCTCACGATGCCAGTGTGAAGATATGTGATTGTTTGTTTCGTACGTAGAACAATCTCTGTAACAATAAGTTTCTGTTACTGAGTTCTAATGATGCTTCATGTGTACATGTCTATCTAAAGGTCGTATGATAGCGAGTAACAATAAGTCAGCAATATTAGTCAGCAGGGCATATGTACATGGTCTATCTAAAGGTCGTATGATGATACAGTCCCATCGTACGTAGAACAATCTCTGTAACAATAAGTTTCTGTTACTGAGTTCTAATGATGCTTCATGTGTACATGGTTAGCGAGTAAGTCAGCAATATTAGTCAGCAGGGCATATGTGCATGGTCTATCTAAAGGTCGTATGATGATACAGTCCCATTGTGTTCATGACAAACGAAATATTGACAGATTTGTAACTCTCCGCTCGAATGACAACGGCAATCATGCGACATTGCCTACTGCTGGGAAATGAAACACCGCCAGCCTGGCAATGTTCATCTGGGCGAATCACCAGCTACTGTCAACATATATTGATAGCATACAGAATATTTACATAAACAGTAAACTACAGTCACAAAAACTCAAGGGGATCTCAAAGGTTAGTTCGTTATACCCGCAGTTCATCATTTCACACTTTTCGACTAAAGCATTCACCAAATGTCCCGGACAAAAACAGTTACAAGAGTGCTCGATATAAACGTAGGTTGCTGTGATTCTAACCGGGTTGGTTCATTTGGGAGCTTTAGTTAAAGCTTTCGGCTGTGATAACGCCGAGGACTCGGATTCTGTTATCAACATTTTTACGTGAATCCCATTTACGTGACATTAATGGAACATTGCTTAAAGTGACGTAAAGACGACTCAGTCACTGTGACTGTAAGGTGATGTTTTGATGTTTTCCTTATTGTTTTTAGATTAAACTAATATTCAATGTGATATTCGACATCGTGTATAGGTATCGTTTTTTAAAATGAAATGAAATGTATGGTTTTACGCCGCTTTTAGCAATATTCCAGCAATAAGAACCAGAAATACATTGTACCCATAGATTGCATACAGTTATTATGTACCCCTCCGCCCCTGACAATTTCATGTACAGATGCATTGGTTATGTCGTCTACACCCTTGGTTGGCATTATTTACCTGTACGAAGATTGGCTAATATGTCCATTCATTCAGATTAGCTATTGGGGTGATAAGTTAGGAAACGTTTCAAATGAACTGAATCAGCAGAATGAATTATGAAACAAATTAGACACATTCAGTCAATGAGTGAATAGCTTGTCCTGCTTCATTTTGATATTTGAACTCTAAATTGATTTTTAAGTTAAATTGAATGTAACATATGCTGTGTTTACAAAACAAACTTGCGTTATGCATGTACTATACTTCACAAGCAGATGCTTCCCCACATTTTCCACAATGTCCAAAACGTTCCCTCTTAGAATATGCATCACATTTTGACTTTATCAAATCGGGTAACGCAATTATTTACTCTGCTGCCCGAGTTGTTGCCCGTGTTCCACGCTATGACAGCATCGCTCCCATTCTGGAACAACTTCACTGGCTCCCCATATCCTTCAGAATAAATTTCAAGCTGCTTCTCTTCACACACGCACGCACACACGCACACGCGCACGCACACACACAATTACGTTATATGCAGTGATTATGCATCCACCTAGCTGAACTAAGCAGGTAACTTAATTATTTACACATTATATGTCTTCATTCATCCTTGTTTTTTGTGTTCTCTGAGGCCGAACAACATCGCTGTATGCACCCTTACAAGGACTTCCGTTTTTGGACATCAATTGTACAATTCAGAAAGAATATAAAGAAAAAGGAACAGAAAAACACAAGTGTAGACGGAAACAAAAAAGGTTTATCAGATATATGGTATAAGGGCGCCTGTCCTAAATACAGGGTTGAGAAAGCCAGTCAGTAATGGTTCGAGGTCTGTCATGTTGATTATTGCATATCAGTTATATAAACGCCAAAAGGTACGTTTTCGCAAACCTTGATTTCTAATTTGTGTGAGTAAGGTATATATTATTGACATCTGTAATAAACAGTATTTCGGAAAGGTTTACATGTTGTTCGATATTTCAGCCATCATCAGTATAATTGCTAGTATGCATCCATCTTTGTTGAAGGCTTTCCACCATGGCTGTCAATATACCTGGCATCGTAGTTGTCGTCATCTTTTACATCGTCATCCTCGCCATTGGGATATATGCAGGACGGAGAACCAGGCAGACAAAAAGCGCAGATGAAATCTTTTTAGCCAATCGACAGATGGGATTCCTTGTATCTTTGTTTTCATTAACCGGTGAGTGAAAGACAAATTTGAGTTTGGTCATCACGAATGCACGTTAGGCATCAAAACGAACTATCCCCTACTTTTTAAGAGTATGCATGTTTTAACTTTAAACATAATTACTGCAAAAGTGTTTTGTGAATATGGTTTTAGCATTTATTAAACATTTTCACTTTACGACACCAGCATTTAACGTATCCACCTTCTATTGTGTAAATACACAGGATGCTATCTCACCAGTGTTCGAGTTACAACGTCTTCTCCAATCCCTCATTAGGACATCAAAAGTCTCATGCCCCTGATAAATGTCATCTGTAGATACGGAGTACACTGCCTCTGCCTGGCACATAAATTGAGCCTCAGAACCTAGGATAGTATCTTATGATGTACCTCTAGTGGAAATTAATTACATACTCAAAGAAACGAATAAGGGATGTTCCATTATTTATTTCCAGAATTTCACACACAGTGCAATTAATACCTTGTAAAGAAACCTGGAAAAAAATAAAAGGACACTTATACTTTCACGTGTTCCCTTATACGTTTCCATGAGTATGGTATTATTTTACACAATGACATTGGTATTTCAGCGACCAACGTGGGCGGAGCTTACGTAAACGGTACGGCTGAAATAGTCGCCTCCAGTGGAATTGTATGGGCTCAAGCACCAATTGGATACTGCATCGGTCTTTTCATAGGTATTTATGCCTCTCAGTTCCACAAGTCGGAATGCTACAGAAGCATAATGTGACGGTCCTTTGATGCGATACAATGCTGTCTCCAGAAATATGAACGTTCCATTTTTCAAAACAATTCGGGATGATAAGTGATGATGGAATTTCAAAACGTCAACCGAAAGAGAATAATAGGTCTCGAATATCTAATGATGATGCGATAGTGATGGAAACAATATGAATGAATTCCTAAACATATGAGATGTCACCAAGCACTCACAAACAAGTACGGCTCTTCAGTTGGTACCCGCATGTCAGATAATGAAAAGTGTAAGTGTCGGTTTGTCGCCTAAGGTCGCACACGGTAATATTCCTGTCATCCGACTGCGGACTGTAAACCTTTAGCAGACAATCAAGTGAATGACACCATGATACATAATCCACTCTATGTATCACTCAACCGGACTAGTCCATCATTGAAAAAGGTACCACTGAATAAGGGGAAATGAAACAAGTCAATGTGCAGTTCAATGTATATAACTGCATCACTCATAATGTTCTATTCAGCAAATTCACTACAAAAGAAAACTGACCCATAGTTTTACCCCACTTCCTCCAGGCGGATGGTTCTACGGTCCAAAGATGCGACGGGCTGGGTACGTTACCATGTATGACCCCTTCCAGGAGAAATATGGAGCCAAAGCAGGAGCCCTCATGTGTATCCCTGAATTCGTTGGGGACATTTTCTGGACGGCAGCAATTCTATCGGCTTTAGGTATAGTTAAGTCTAGTTGCTCACACGTAACGGTTTCCTCTTAATGGGTTAGTGAGTGAGTGATGGATAGTTTATAGCTGTGTGTGAATATATCGGGTTCCAATAGCACAAACAAGTCGTTTACAGTATAAATACCGAATCGGATTCACTATCCCAATGTTCTTTCAGCTGACAAAAACTATTTGATATCAAATTTCAGTTCTCTTAAATTGTTATAAGACTGCAACTATTTCACATTATTATTGCATTCAACGGTGCATCAAGGAATTACGCCACTCATAAATAATGTTTGAAGCTGGTTCTAATTGTTTGTACATACTATTATTCGAGTTTACAAAAACGATGGGCAATATCCTTAATATTGTAACGCCGAGCGTTAAGCGTAGTACACGCCTTCTCTTTCTTCTGTTTGTTCTATAATCAAATCCCAGCCTTGCGGACAAATGATTTAAAGTGAGTGAGTTTGGTTTTACGCCGCTTTTAGAAATATTCCAGCAATATCACGGCGGGGGACACCAGAAATGGACTTCACACATTGTACCCATGTGGGGAATCGAACCCGGGCCTTCGGCGTTGCGAGCGAATGCTTTAACCACTAGGCTACCCCACCACCCCCAAATGATTCAAAGTATGAACAAGAACCTATGTCGGGGGTAAGGGAATGGTTACATAAAATCACCATATTTTCACATAGTAAACCCTTAAAATCAGAAGTTAAGTTTTTCTATGTTGAAAGCTATTATATTTCCTTTTTTGAGTGACGGGGCGGTGGGGTAGCCTAATGGTTAAAGAGTTGGCTCGTCACGCCGAAGACCCGGGTTCGAATCCCCACATTGGCACAATGTGTGAAGCCCATTTCTGGTGTCCCCGCCGTGAGTTCGCTGGAATATTGCTAAAAGCGGCGTAAAACCAAACTCAGTCAGTCAGTCAGTCTTTGAGTGACATTTAGAAGTTGGTGTGATGAACAACGAGGAGAGTTCTATGGATATATAACTTCTATATTATTAACATGGGCGACGTTTCGGTTTAGCTTCTAACACTTGCTTGATAATGGTGATAGTAGCCACACCGATACGTCGCTCATATTAATATTTGAGAAGTTGTATATCCATAGAACCCTCGTTATTATATTTCCATCTGAACTTTTGCTACGACCAGGGTCAACGATGTCCATTATTATGGATCTGGACCAAACCACTTCTATTGTGGTGTCCGCTTGCATTGCGGTCATCTACACCTTCCTGGGTGGCCTTCGGTCTGTCGCCTACACCGACGTTGTCCAGCTCGCTTTTATTGGGATAGGTCTGGTGAGGACATTTCTGTAAACATGTTCTGTAGTACTTCAAGTATGCAGTAGATCCGGTGACAATATAAATATTAACTCGTTAGGGAGAAGGACATTAATGCTGGTGAAGCAGGTCAAAAGTTCATTTTGCCCAAAGACAGTCGAGTGAGTGAGTGAGTTTAGTTTTACGCCGCACTCAGCAATATTCCAACTATATGGCGGCCGTCTGTAACTAATCGAATCTCGACCAGACCATCCAGTGATTACGAGCATCGATATACGCAATTAGGATACGATGACATGTGTCAACTAAGTCAGCGAGTCTGACTACCCAATCCCGTTAGTCGCCTCTTACGACAATCATGGGTTACTGAAGATCAATTCTAACGAGGATCTTCACAGGTAAAGACAGTCAATGCTTTGCTTTGTCATTGCATCATGCTGAAAGTAAAATCTCTTGTACCAAAATATACTTCATCGTTATAATTATGTGAGGAAAAATTTGTAGTTATTGGAATTCTCCAAGTTACACTTTGATGAAAAGCTGACAGAGATTTTCATATGGGGATATACAATCTACAAATTTGATAGGATTAACTATAGATTTATAAGTGTTATCATCACGTGCTACAAAATGTAATCACATCATGCAGGGATGGTATTTATTAATTTAGCAATTACTGATTCAATTGTTTATTCCATGATATAAATTTCACGCTGTAGCACGTTAAAATACAAATTGTGTAGGGCAGGAGGTGTTCACTCTTTTTTGCGAACACATGTGTTATCCCTGTTTTTCAGTGATCAGTTCATATGATTTTCACAGCAATTGTGACCTTTATGCCCAATAGAATCTGTTTGAGCTGCTGACCCGTGAATATCCGGGTTAGAATATTGATCTTCAGTAACCAATGCTTGTCGTAAGAGTCGACTAACGGGATCGGGTGGTGAGGCTCGCTGACTGGGTTGACACATGTCATCGGTTCCCAATGGCGTAGATAGATGCTCATGCTTTTGATCACTGGATTGTCTGGTCCAGACTCGATTATTTACAGACCGCCGCCATATAGCTGGAATACTGCTGAGTGCGGCGTAAAACTAAACTAACTCACTCAGTGTTTGAGATGCGAATGGCTGGCTATTCTCTTACATTACGTTTTGATTATATATTAATACAGAATGAGAATGTCCTTCGTAATAATGATAAAAAACGATCGATCATCACATCACAATTCTTCATTTGTATCACCATCATGGTGCTTTACACAGGTTATTGCGTTCCCGTTTGCCTTACGACACAGTGCAGTGGATCTGGGTGACCTTGGCAGTAAATGGGTGGGGCAGGTGCCCGTCAGTAACATAGCCAACTACCTTGACCTTTACGGCTTGCTCATAATGGGAGGGATACCCTGGCAGGTGATGATTCCTTCACAAGCAGTTGTTTATAACCTTATCAGATTAGTTCATTTAATCTTACCTTTTTGCAAAATGACACTCTTTGTAGACAGATAATGAGTGCCCAACTACGTAGGAGTTACGTACAGGGCACCGATGTTCAAAGGAATGTTCATTTCAAAATCCTATTAGATAAGGTGTACATGTTCCATAACTGTTCAACTCATTAACTTTATCAAGTAAGTAGGCACCAATATGTGCGAAACTTTTGAACATGCATTCATCTATGTAAAGCGAGTCCGAAAATTGGTGCAAGTCAGGGTGCTCTTTCTATGACTCTTCCTAGGTGTTTGTTCAGCGTTCCAACATGCAGGAAAAAGGCCTTTCAAAAAGGTTGATAGTAGACATGTGGAAGACATTGTGATAAAATATCCGATTCAATTCCTTTTTTAACTTTACGATCCTGTGTATTTTTAGTGACTTGTCCTTCTCCTTGGCAGGGTGCCACCAGCAGGTCAGGATACCCATAGTTTTGACAGCTATGCAGTCACTATGTTGTATCTCTATATGATAGCGGTTCTTAACACATGGACATGTTATAAAAGGAATCGTACTCTGCTTTTAACAGAGGTTATACATGATTATGAAAAGGGTTTTGTGTCTTGTATTCCACGTCCTGACGTAGACCTGACATCAACGTGTGTTCCATGTATTGTTCCAGCCCTTCTATCAACGAGTGTTGGCGTGTAGGACCCCTGAGATTGCACGGAACTCATTGATGATATCGGCCGTCTTCTGCTTGTTGTTCGCCGTTCCTCCTGCCATCATCGGCGTAGCAGGAGCAGCAGCAGGTTCACACATTCACATTTATTTGTAAAGGAGCATCATCACTTATTGTAAATCAGTTACTGCTTACATAGGCGGATCCATATGATGTCCTGAAAGTGTATTAAATGACCATTGAAACTGACGTGAAAACGGGTGAAAATGAACTTCCCCTTTCTCAAAAAGCTGTATCCGCACCTGCGCTTACTAAAAAATACAGACCAACTTCGTTTGTATGACGAAGAAGGATCATTCAGCGCTAACTTTTTCTGAATACCTATTGATGAAAACTTGGCTCCATCCTAGAACATTCATGAAACAAAGATGATAGTTAAAGACAAAAACATTGCTATGGTTCTTTATGTGCTGTTGTTGTAAGATTGTTTGATGTATATGTATATTATCTTACTGCATACAAAGCCAAGACGAAATTCTATACTTCTATCCAATATACAATAACCTGAATATAGTGGGGTTTTGTGACTATAAAGGTATTGGTGAATTGGAGTTTTGACATATGTAATGGTAAAGGAATGATTTAGTATTACAGTTTAAGTTCCCCATCTCATTCACATCAGAAGAGACTCCAATAGATTTCCGTCCCTTTCAAAATTCTACGACAGTCGTTTGGATATTTCAGACTGGAATCAAACCTCGTACCCAAATGAGGTTCCTCTGGCCCAAGATCAGCTGCCATTTATTCTGCCCCTGGTCCTCCAGTACATGTGTCCACTCCCAGTGTCCGTCATCGGTCTGGCGGCAATTTCTGCTGCCGCCATGTCGTCTGCTGACTCCACCACTCTCTCCACTGCCTCCATCTTCACCAACAACTGGTACAAAGGACTCTTCAGGACCCAGGTTAGTCTCTCTTACAGTCCCTGAACCGCATTACGTTCCTTCCGCCTAGCCCTTTCTGCAATGCGAAAACCTAAAATTAAACACGTCTAGATTTTTTTAGATTCTAAATCTCAAATCTCACTGGGGCTCTTTTCAATTTGAAGGGAATTATTTGTTATTGGGAATTATATATTCAGGGAGTAAGCGTTAGTCTAGAACATAAAGATCTTGAATAGATTTGAAATACTGAAACAATAAGATGTAGTTAAACCCCTATGATGCTGTATGAGAGGCATTCTAGAGCTTGTAAGTAATAGGAATGACAAGTCTTTAATGATGATCAACTTCTTTATTGTGCAATAGCCTTCAAGAAGTTGTAAGTAATAGGATGACAAGTCTTTGTGGATGATCAACAGTTTTATGTGCAATAGCATAATAGCTATTGCACAATATCGATGTTGATCATTCATAAAGACTTGTCATTCCTATTACAATTTCTAGAATGCTATTGCACAATAAAGTCGTAATAGGAATGACAAGTCTTTAAGGATGACCATCTTCTTTATTGTGCAATAGCATTCTAGAAGTTGTAAGTAATAGGAATGACAAGTCTTTATGGTTGATCAACTTCTTTCTTTTATGTGCAATTGCATTCTAGAAGTTGTAAGTAATAGGAATGACAAGTCTTTAAGGATGACCATCTTCTTCATTGTGCAATAGCCTTCAAGAAATTGTAAGTAATAGGAATGACACGTCTTTATGAATGATCAACATCGATATTGTGCAATAGCTATTATGCTATTGCAAATAAAACGGTTGATCGTCCATAAAGACTTGTCATCCTATTACTTACAATTTCTTGAAGGCTATTGCACAATAAAGAAGATGGTCATCCTTAAAGACTTGTCAATCCTATCACGACTTCTAGAAGGCTATTGCACATAAATTCCCACTATGATGGTCTTCTCCAGGCATCTGACACGGAGTTGATCTGGGTTCTTCGGGTGACAGTCGTAGTAGCAGGAGCCCTTGGCACGGTTCTTGCCATAACCTCCACCACAGTTTATGGACTCTATGTCATGTCCGGCGACCTCATGTATGTCATTCTCTTCCCCCAACTCACCTGCGTCCTCTTCATGAAGGTTTCCAACGCCTATGGAAGTCTGGTCGGTTTCTTCCTCTCTATCATTCTTCGTCTTCTCTGTGGAGCATATCTGTTACATCTGCCACCTGTGATTCAGTTACCGCTTTACAGCGAGGAAGAAGGGCAACTGTTTCCTTTCAGAACTTGCATCATGGCTGTT